ATTTTCATAACTAAATTATTTATGATTTGCCATTTAACAGCAAAACATCTCGTCAAATAGGCCACAGTTCATCAGGAAATGAAAATCTTTTAAATGACAACAGAAAAGCAGTTCAGCGACTAACATTCACTCATTCAGTGAGTATCTCATTTATTCATTCATTCATTCACTAATTGAATCAACACTTTTTCAGTCACTAAATATGGTGTCAGATGCAGATGTGGCCTCTAGTGTAATCCACAGTTCATATATTGCACAATGACGCTAAAGGCCACCATATTATAAAATACTGCAGGTTGTTGGTTGCAGATTAATAATCACAAACATAATTTTTTAATCATAAAACAGCTAAAACATATTTAGTGTCAGAGAGGACAAAGTGGTTTCAGTTTACCTTTTATCTTTAATATTAAACAGCTTTTTAGTCTTTAGACCAGATTAAATAACTTGTGGTACTTGTATAAACAATGTTCAGCTCAGGATCAGTAATTCAGCATGATGTGCTGCTAAAGCTGAAACAGTCTATCAATTTATGCCACAGACTGTGTGAGATTCTGTCGAGTCTTATAGATGTTAAAAACACTGATGGAGGTCAAAACCGCATCTGACACCACAGTTAGTAGATGAGTAAGAGTAAACTGAATAATAAATATGTAACTCAGTTAATGATAGTTATTCACTGCATGAATGAATGTTAGATGAGGAACTGGTATTTAAGTGGAAAATTAAAACATTAAAGCTTTACTTTTACAGAGGTTCACTGTTTGCACAATCTTAAATGGATAGTTCACCGCATAAATATGATTGTGACGATTATGAATTAACATTTTTGGGTCAATTATCCCTTAGCTCACATAAATTATCCCAGAGCATTATTTCAGCATCAATGATCATTCACAATAGTCACATCACAAGAAATACAAGGTTGAGTCTGGATTATAATTTAGCATTTGCATGTGTTTCTGAGGCCTGTGACTGTAAAAGCTTTAGGTCTAATAAATTGCATAATTTGTCATTTTAATTGCAAATCATTTTATTTAATTAAAAAATGAAGACAATAGCAGTATTATTTTACATTTGATTATTAAATTACTGTACCTGAATACTGTTTGACTCGTTGAAAAACAACAAAGCTCTGTTCATTTTATTTCAGAATTTTATATTGTATTTATCTCTGCTCGTAGATTGTTTGTAATGTTTTATGCAGATGCACACCTAATATAAACAAATCACCCATTCTGTAATATGTTTTCTACAGCTATATGTATTATGATACAATAAACCACTTTTACTGTAGTAAAAAAACTAAAGTATACTACAGTATTTATTACAATTTATCAGTTGATACAGAAAACAGAATGTTGTGGCACTCATAAAATGAGTTGTAAAGGCTAATAAATATGGTATAATAATCTTTAGTTCAAAAATACTATGTTGATACTAATTACTGTAATTTTTTTATTTGTGATCATACTGCTGTTTATTATTATTATCTAATGTCATAAGGCTATGAAGTCAGTTTTTATTCATCATTCAGTTTTCCTCCACTAGAGGTCGCTGTGATGATCAGATTCTCCACAGCTCTGATTCTCTCAGCCCTCGCCGGGTTCAGTGGCGCGCGCCTGTAATCCAAGCTACTGGGAGGCTGAGGCTGCGGATCGCTTGAGCTCAGGGCTTCTGGGCTGCAGTGGACGATGTTGATCGGGTGTCCGCGTTAAGTTCGGTATCGATATGGTTCTCCTGGGGGAGCTCGGGACCACCAGGTCGTTTAAGGAGGGGTGAACCGGCCCAGGTCGGAGACGGAGCAGGTCAAATCCCCCGTGCTGATCAGTAGTGGGATCGCGCCTGTGAATAGACACTGCAGTGCAGCCTGAGCGACACAGAGAGACGCAGACTTTTACGCTAGTTTTTTTTTTTTAACTTTGATTTGTCTTTCTAACTGTAAAACTGAAGAAATAAAGATTTAGAGATGTATGATGACTATATGCATTATTAATAGTAAGTAATAATTAAAAGTTTACTAGCAGACTTCAAAAAGTTTATTTGTAAACAAAAATACAAAAATCATCTCAATTTCATGTCTATATTTTAAAAATATGCCTTAGACAGAAATATATTGAATTTAATTGAAAATATATCAAATTAAAAAATATATATAGAGAATAATTTTACTTTAAACATAAATGGCACATTATAATTTTTGGCCCCATCAGAAACAAAAGTAACACACGGGTAGGTCACAACCAGATTTACTGGCTTCATCATGTTTGTTTTAATTATATCTGACTATGACATTGTTAATTATTTTTTAATACCACCTGATATTGACGGTTAAAAAGCTTCCAGTACAAAATGGCATTTTTATTGATAAATTACTTACAGAGTATTATGTCAAATGCAGTTTTAATCTAGAAAGTTTTGTTTAATAAAATAGAGGAGGGGGATATATTTAAGAAATTAATAACACTTAAAAATAGTAAAGCAACAGGGTTAGATAATATTCCAGTGCAGTTCCCTCAAAGACTCCCTAAATGCGTCACTCCGATGGTTACACATATTATCAATTTTTCTATTTGTCAAGGTAAAGTTGAAAAAAGCAAGAGTTATTCCTCTTTTTAAGAAAGGTAGTAGGTTTGAGGTTAATAATTCTAGGCTGGTATCAATTTTGAGTGCTTTGTCAAAAGGGAGGGAAAAAGTTATTTATTAGCACATTGAAAAATATTGTTTAAAATGTGACGTATTGTAGAGTTTCAGTCGGGTTATAGAAAAATCATTCCACTGATTCAACAGTTTCTTTTATTTAACAAATTATATAAAGAGCGATATGGATAAAGGCAGTTAAGTGGGATGGTTTTCTTAGACCTGCAAAAAGCTTTCAATACAGTCGATCACAGGATATTGATTTTAAAAGTAAAGGCAATGGGTTTTGGTGTTTTGGCCTGTAAATGCATGAAGTCTTGCCTTGAAAACAGATGTCAAATAGTAGATTTAAATGGTGTGTTTTCAGATTATTCGACAGTTTCTTATGGCGTTTCACAAGGCAGTGTTTTAGGTCCTTTGCTTTTTTAATATACATCAATGATTTGAAAATGGCCTGTTCAAAAAAGCTTTTGTTAAATGCGGATGATGCAGCAATAATTGTGTCTCATGAGAGGAAGGAATTTATTGAAAATGAAAAAAGTAAACAAACTGAGGAAGTCTCTTAATGGTTTAACCTTAATAAATTGTCCTTACACTTGTGTAAACCAGAATTTATTTTATTTGGTTCAGCTGCGAAACTGAGAAAATGTGTCAGATCAGAGGTAAAAGTAGAGCATCAAATTAATGAACCCAAACATGAAGGGAAATATTTAGGTTCCATTTCAGACAGTAATTTGACAGGTGAGAAGATGGCTGTTATAGTCCATTCAAAAGTTCTAAAATTAAGTTTTTAGCAAGACAGACAGAGCTCTTAGATTTCCAAACTTTACAAATATTGGCTAGTGCATTAGTGCAGTCATACTTTGACTATGCTGCAGTCTTTTGGTACAGCAGTAGTTCCACAAAAATGAAAAATAAATTGCAGACGGCCCAAAATAAGTTGCAGAATTGTTATCAAAGTACTTCTACTGACACATTTAAATAATGAATATTATAGTCAAATTAAATTATTAAAAGTTGGAAAAAGGGTCACTTTTCTGAAATTGGTGATGGTGTTTAAGATTTTAAAGAAAATGGTCCCAAAATATTTACTTATTAAGGTTTAGTTAGTGAGGTACACTGTCATTCTACAAGAGCGAGTAGCAGGGGTATTTGTCCTTGTAGAATTATGAGTGAAACAGGTAGAAAGTCTTTTCTGTGTACTGTTGCTTGGAATATACTGCCGAGGAGTTTTAAAGAGATTCAATTTGAGAGTTTTTAGAGAGGAAATTAAAAAATGGCTGTTTTACGGTTGAAGTTGAGGATTTTTGTTGTGCTGAGTTTCTGAGCTGATGATGTTTGCACTTTATGATTTGCTCGTTCATTTTTTAAGAATATCGATGACCAAGATGGAAATCAACCTGTGGCTTTATTGTGTATTTTATCCTCGACAGTTTTTAAGATATGAATGTCAAACTGGACTTGTTTGTATATTTTTGTTAAAATTATTAAATAAAATCAATCAATCAATTTATTCATTCATTTTCATTTAGCTTAGTCCCTTTATTAATCTGGGGTCGCCACAGCGGAATGAACTGCCAACTTATCCAGCATATGTTTTACACAGCGGATACCCTTCCAGCTGCAACCCAGTACTGGGAAATATCCATACACCCTCATTCACACACACACACACACACACACACACACACACACACACACACACATACACACACACACACACACACTATGGCTAATTTAGTTTATTCATTCACCTACAGCATAGCACATGGGTTTGGAGCACCCAGAGGAAACCCACATGAACACGGAGAGAACAAGCAAAGTCCACAGAGAAATGCCATCTGAACCAGTCGGGACTCCCAGCAGCAGCCTTCCTACAGTGAGGCCATGTGTGTATATATATATATATATATATATATATATATAAAGATACATTATTTTTTCCCTTAATAGCTACATTTTAAAGAAATCTATTTGCTTAAGTCAGCTGAACAGTAAACAACAACAGCAATAGAAACCACCAAAGGACACCATATGAACACAGCCAAAATGACTTATTAGAGCATGCACATCTTTGTCATTCCAATGGATTTTTAAAAATATGTACATGCCGCCTTTTCTTCCATGTTTCTTGAACTTTTCCCCTTTATGAGGAAAACTATTGAATACTATAAAAGCTGTTCAGCGTTTTATTTTTTTCTGATTAACATTAAATAAACTTTAACTAAAAGTTTTAGATTGTGAGCAGGACAGCACACTGGTTCTCCCGCAGCATGTTTGTTCATCATTTCTATCTTAATGTGTTGATCATTTTCTTTTGTGTTTCTGTATTGTGTGAAGGTGAACCAGTCCACAGTTTATGCTGCTATAATCTTTATTCAGTTTTATTCATAAACTATGTACAATATATACACTGTGCTCACGTCGGCTCCAGGTCTCTTGGGTGAAGGTCTCTCAGTGCCGTGGTCTCTTCTGGTCGCCGTGCGTCTCTGGTGGAGATGGGGAGCGGGAACGTTTCCCTCTGGCGTCCTGGACTGAAGATGCTGCACCAGCTGAGGAAGAGGAGGGCAGCGGCTTGGTCTGGCAGAAGGAAGGCCTCTTTTTCTTCTCAGCAGCATAGGCCTCACTGAACAGATCAAGCGCAAACACACACAAGCAGACATAATGTGAGATTTTCACAAACAATAGAACATGCTGCAATGCCAAGTACAGTTTACTCACGCGTCTATGATGGGAATGACGTATTTGCCGCTGCCATCCATCATGACCCCCTTTTGGTTTGGGTCGTCCACCTCCAACAGGAAGCTGCGGGGAATCCCTGTGCTCCTCCGGATGCGCTTAAGCGGAGCAGAGCTGCTGCCCTGTGAATTCATGAGTGACAGTCAAACGACAGAGCAAACAATCTGACTGATGGAGACAAGAGCTCAAGTTCACAGCAACCATAAGCTTGGAAAACCCAGTTACCCCTTTAGAGGGGCAGTGCCTAATGTGGTGTCCTGGGATCCCACAGTGAAAGCAGACATAGTTGGGTGGAAGAAGCCCAAGTAGTGTCATGGCCTCACTGATGAACATCAGAACCATGAGAATCAGCTCTAACATTTCTCACAAACCAAACCTGTCAGTGTCTGAACGCTCACCTGCTGGAGTAGTAGCACAGACTGGACTGGTACATCACCGCTTTTAGCTTGTCCTCCTCTGATGCCTTTGCCTCAGCCAGATTCTCAGTCTGTTTCACAGGCATTTGCACATTAGAATTTTATTTTACTGGTCTGCCTAAGAAGCTGTGTGTGTGTGTGTGTGTGTGTGTGCGTTTGTGTGTTTTACACTGTGTATTGATATTCTGCACTACATGTCATTATGACGCCTCAAATGCAAACACTGCAGTTCAATACAGAGCAGCACAGTGGGGTGAATTAATCATTTGTTCAATACCTTCAACAGCTGCTCCAGTGAGAGGAGTGAAGAATCACCTGTTTGAGAAGATTTAGTTGATGGTCCAGCTTGATGTCTGCAAAACAAAACAAAGGAGCTTGTGTGACTAAAACACCACAGACAGACTCAAACTCTTCATATAACATCTATCAGAGGATGGTTGCGCTCATTTCACATGACTTACCCAACAAATCTTCTGTTTGATGACTTCAGTCCAGCAGCAGGGACCCGTCTGATGATGACCGATGTGTTTTTGGGGATGAGAGCATCATCATCTGTGTATTCTGACAGCAAAATAAAGTTTATATATTAATAATCATTTACCATAGTATACTTTGAGTGCCATTAGCATTTTAAAACACTCAAAACATCACTACATGTCACCATCAGAGTCATGATAACACATGTCAGCTTCTACAAGTCTGTCTGATAACACATCTAATGTTAGTGTATTATAGTTTAAGTGGCTTTTCCTCATCTCACCTTCATCAGTTTGGGCTTTGCTGATCTTCAGCTGGCAGAACTTCAGCCTCTCGCGCCTCATGATCTGCCGCTTCAGCTCTCCCACAGTGATGTTGAGGCCCTCAAACTGGAGCGAGTTGTAGGTGAGTCGACTCTGAAACCTGTAATGAACACAAGACATACTAAACACAAAACACAGTGTGATAACAAGGGTCAAACCTGAATGATGGGAGAAGCAGACGATCAATCGATGTATCCAACAATCAATAATCTGGGAATCAGTAGCCAGGAAGGACGCCGAGATCAGATGCCAATGAGCGAAGTTCAAAACAACACAAAAAGAACCGTTGCCATGGATGTTGACGATCACGTGACGAGACGCTAAAAACTTCCGCTTTATTTTCTCATTAATAATAGTGAAATCATTACTATGATAATAATAAAATAAACAGCAGAACAGTTGGCCATCTCTGAATAATACACAGTGGCGTTTCCTTACACGAATGGTTCAGGACTCTGTATAGAGTCGGGCGAGTCACTGAATCAGTGATTCGTGGCTGAATGAATCACTTAAAGCTTCACTCGATTAAAGCGGTCTCTTGCTGCCACCTATTGGCGATTTGTTTTTCCGTTTTAAAGTAATTTAACACTTTTTAAAAACACCTTTAAATGTATTTTCTACAAATGGTTATCTCTGTATGTTAAAATGAATTAAAACTCTCTAAGCTCATCATTTATTTGTTTGCCCTTGATCTTCATTATGTGTTACAGTTTTTTTTCCAATTGTTTTGCCACAAATTTCAGAACCCTGATGTCAATTAAAAAAACTCTAGACACAAAATCCTAAACAGTCACTACTTTTAACACTCTCCAGTGTTCTGCATACAGCATTCATTCCCTTAAAGAAGTCTTGCATTTGCAGGATCATTGATTCACATAATCCTTTTATAATACAAATACTACAGGAACACTACTTTAGATCACCAGCAGCACACAAGATGTACATCGCTTCAATAAACAATCATTAACAATCATTAAATATTGTTGTTTAAAATATATGATACAGGTTTCATTATGGTCTACAAGTGTAAAGGGAAACAGTGCAGACAGTGGATATACTGAACTAGTTTTATTCATTCCATCATAATGTTGGTTTACTGTATTTTTTTCTCACTTCACGTCCCCATATAGAAAGCTGATAAATGGCATGATATATGGTCCCATCTGCAAATTACATTATTATAAAATGTCATAATAGTCAATAATTTGTCAAAATAGTGAAAAAAATCATTGTTTATATTTTTTTCAACCATATCATATATATATATATATATATATATATATATATATATATATATATATATATATTTGTAGGGGTAAAATATATAACATAATGGATCATATATATATACGTAACATATATGTACATATTTGTAATTCTAATATTTTAACAAATGGCAATATTTTGACATGTATAACATATTTTATATATGTAAAATTCATATGAACTATTATGTCACATATGTAATTTGCATATATTTCTATATATCAGATATCTATTTTGGGATTTTGTGTTACCATCAGTCTGGTCTTGTGGATTTGGTCACGGGTTCTCCTCTACATTTCAGTGGTGTTTTCATTACTCAGAAATCTTGGAAAGAACCTTCTGTCAATGTAAATCCAGGCCTGACATTGGTCTGCTGTGACTGGGCTTTCTTACAGTAATGTCAAATATATAAACATTGTCTGTAAAAGTGGTACACAGAACAAAGAAATCATAAATGTGGACTAAGGATGAATAAAGATGACATCTATAGATAATGTAGTTCAGTTGGGTCATCTTTTGTGGTAACTGATGTCATTTGATCTATCCTGATTATTTCATCATCTAAACATGTAATATTGTACATCAGTTTCCCCACATCAACAATAATGCAGCAGTTATTCATCATTTGGAGTGCTTGTATCAGTTGATAATAACATCACGTGAAGTAAATGAATACATGGTTATTTCAAATGTAATGTTTGAGTTACATTTTGAAATGGGATCAATTTGAAGTTTAATTGTGTTATATTGAAAAGGTGATCTTAGTTCAATGAATAAAGTATGTTTGACTTGTGTGTGTTGTATCCAAGCATTTGAAAAAAGAGTTAAAAGTTTTGCAAAAATGTACAATTTTGGCAAAGGTTGTGAATTTTGCGTCTAGACTTTTGAAAATTGACATTAAAGTTCTGAAATTTGTGGCAAAACAATTGTAAAAACCTGTAATAAAAAAAAGAGAAAGGATAAATCTTATAGATGATGAGCACAAATCTGAAAGCATCTGTGGATCTGTCACAATCCACTCATTTATTATCATTACTGTGGGTTTCTTCATCACAAAAATAAGCCCATGTAAGAAATGAAATATTACAAATATTTTTGATGTCTTTGACAATTCAAAACATGAGCTGAAAACAGAGACTGTTGACCACAACCCAGCAGGTGGGAATGCGGGAAAAACCAATTCCTGCTGCATTTGCATCTGAGTCTGCTGAAACTCGGCTTCAACCACCCCAACTCACACATATGGTCATTTCAATGTTTGAATGTTCCAGATTAACCTAAGTGACTTTATCTATCATGTTTGATATCATTTGAAATGTCTCAGTGCGATTGGTACGATGGTCTTATTCTCTCAGAAATAGGCATAATCAAATCAATAAATATATAACTTCAGGCATCTTTTGAACCACTGTGAAGGGTGTGACTTTTCCACAGGCAGCACTAAATGCAAGTGCCTTTTGTTATGCACACACCCCTGTCCTTGAGGGAATTCTTGGATTACTTAAGGTAAGGTTTGAGAAAGGCTCAGCGCGATTCTGCTTACCCCGATCAGCCCGTAACATGGAGCTTATGCTCCATGTTATGTATATTTTAAAGTCAGGAATGCATCTTTTAATCTTGGATTTATCTTTGGTAACTTGATGTATTTATTGATCTTTTATGAATTGACTGATTGAATTGGCATAATACACATTTACCTGACTAATAAATTGTTATGTTTTGAATTATTCAAACAGTCCTCGTGTTATTATCACTGATAAATGTTGTTGTCCATAGCACTACAAGCCACTGTACAGGTTAGTAACGGACTAAAACATGTTAGACGGAGCAGTGTGGCACGCTATACAATGTTGCTAGAGATCCGACTAACATATTGGCATTAATTCAAGTATACTTAGACTGTAAAAGGCCAACTATGAGTTTTCTATTTAGAACAACAAAATATTGTTGAAACTAATCTAAATGTGGGTATTTAGGCCTTCATCTACAAACTTATAATCCTGTGCGATTATTATTAAAATACTTTGTCTTGATTAAGTAGATAACAGATCTATGGGGACCACATAAAAAATCTCCTAAATTGAGTAAGTATAGGGTTCTGCCACTTTAGGAGAGTGGTTAATCGCCTCTGTTTAATGACCAAGACTGACAAGCTTGTATTAAGAGATTGTATACCCGGCCGGTGCAAGACTCGAGATGCTATAGGAATCTGAGTAAATGAGAATAAGGTATAATAACAAATCAAAAGAATATTCAATCATAATCTAAAATATTGTGAAAGGAAACAAAATAATCTTATCAATGTTTTATAATTGGAGTCAGATAAAACGAGGATAAATATATTAATATTCTAAACCACCTCATACTAAAATTGGAGTCAGATATGAGTTAAGTTTAATATAAATCAACATTGTGCACTGGAAAGACCGAACATGCAGTGAACCTTCATCCACCATTGGATACCGTCATTGGACCAACTGGGTGGACCCTACACCCATATACAAATAAATAAAACACCACAAGCAGATTTAAAACGTCAGAATCTGCAGAACAAGGATCAGCACTGACCTTTCCAAGAAGAAGAGCGACTGCAGCAGGCTTGAACTGAAAGGCTGATTCATATTATTGAGTGTTTCTAATTCAAAAACTCTTTTGTTTAGGGTTAGTGATTCAGATCTCATTTAATGTTTACAGAATAATGAAAAATGATTTACAGACCTAATTTGCATCAATGAATTAAAACAAAACAAGAAGACTGCAATGAATAATCCCTGATACAGGCACGTGCACACATAGGGCTCAACCTGTGGAGTGCACATGCCCTTTTTAGTCTTTAGTCCCTCGGTCCCGCTCTTCAGTAGGCGCGCGACAACACCGCTCTTGAGTACGCGCGCGACAACACAGCTGATCAGAACACCACTCTTCAGTACGCGCGCAACAACCCCCCCCAACAAGCAGGACCTTTACATTAATCAAAGATATTGAAACTAGAGCACAGTTGGACAGTTTTAATGGCCTTTCGATTAGCACTATGCTGAATAGTGCAAAAGTAATTTTTCAGTTCCTTATAAAACACAGTAAAACAAGGTTTTTTGTTGGAAAAATATACACTTATGAATATGAAACTTAATTAGCAAAATAAATAGGTTAATAACAAAAGCTTCATTATTCAAATTATCATAATTAAAATACCCAAAGATTACAGTTTCATAATGCAAATTAAAGTTAAAGAGTACCCTTTTCTTTATAAAAACAGGAGCATCATACCAGAGCTTTTTAACATAACCACAGTGCCAGAAAAGGTGGGGTACAGCTTCCGAATGCAAAGAACAAAAAGAGCAATTTATATCAATATCCTTTTTAAATTTAGTTAGGAAATGTTTAACCGGATAGAATTTATGAATTAGTTTAAAAGATATTTCGTTTATCTTATTTGTAACCAAAAATTTGTGAGGCAATGACCAAATACTTTCCCATTTAGAAATTCTTACAAAATTATTCCAATAGGTAATAGAGCAAGGTTTAGATACAACTTGATTTACAAATAGAGAGCGAATAGATTTGTTATTTTTAGACTGTGAGAAACAAATTTTACCACACACTGTATCAACTAGATTGATTATGGGCTTATGAATCCAAGTTACACCTTTAAATAAGGAAACAATATTAGAATTAATTGCAGAGAAAACAAGAGAAAATTCCTTGGGAGTTACAGGAAAGTTAAAATGTACAAGAAACTCGTCATATGTCATAAGATACCCTTGAGTGTTAAACAATTGACAAACTAAAACAATACCCTTTTCAAACCACCTCTCCAAAAAGATACTCTTGCATTTATACAAAATACATCTATTGTTCCAAATAAAATAACGTTGTGGTGAAAAATTGTGCTTGTAGATCAGTTTCCACGCCAACAAGGCTTGAGCATGAAAAGCAGAGAGCTTCACTGGTAATTTCTCAATTTTATAATCGCATAATAACAAAAAGGAAAGACCTCCAAGTTGGTCAAAAATAAAATTGGGAATAAAATTCCAGAAAGAAGGTTTATTTAGACAAAACTTTAACCAATTAATTTTAAGAGTGTTATTTAGAGAAGAGAAATCCAAAAAGTCAAGACCCCCATTTTTAAGGGAATTTAAAACAACAGATTTGCGCATGTAGTGTACACGATTCTTCCATAATAAATTAAATATAATCGTATCAATAGACTTGACTGTTTTATTATCTAGATATAAGGTTGAAGCAAAATAGGTTAATCTAGAAATTCCTACTGCTTTTGAAAGAAGAACTCTGCCCCTTAAGGAAAAATCCCTTAATAACCAAAGATTGAATTTACTTTTTATCCTTTCGAAAACAGGGTTAAAGTTTAAGGAAACTCTGTCTTGTTCTTTTTTTGAAATGACAACACCTAAAAAGTTAACGGCTTCTTTAACTGGTATACCTTCTACAGATAATAGGGGAGAGTTTTTTAAAGCTAATATTTCACATTTTTTAAGATTAAGGTGCAAACCCGAGGCTTTAGAGAACAATTGAATGGATTTGATAGCCTGATGAACCTGGTTTGAGTCTTTTAAAAATAGGGCTGTATCGTCCGCTAACTGACTAATTAAAATATTTCATCCAGCAATTTGAATTCCATCTAGTTTACTTGCCTTAATAAAGTGACAGAAGTCTTGGCCTACTATAAGAAATAAGTATACAGAGGCT